TCAGGCCAGGACAAACTGCAGGTTAGTGAGCAGCACTTTGATGCCGCTCGTGACCGTCACAACCGAGGTGGCCGGGTTGAGTTTGAAAGTATTGGCGTCGCCCTTTTTGTAGCGGTCGCGGAAGACGTAGATGCTGCCGTTGCAGCTGGCGATCTTCCCGAGGGAGGGGACGGAGCCCCAGGCCTCGGGCAGGCACAGCCGGGTGAAGCTGTCCAGCAGCGGGTTGTAGCCCAGCAGCGAATCCCCCTCTGCCACGATGAAAACCACGTCCTTGTGCACCGCCGCGTGCATGCGCCCCGCAAAAGGCAGCACGTAGGGCTTCACGTGGCACTTCTCCGTGTTGGTGTCGTAGCACTGGATTAGCCGAGAGGGCTTGGTGAAGAAGTCCAAGTCGTTTTCCTCCCCGCCCAGCAGGTAAATGACGCCGTTCAGGTTCACGCCCGCAGCTCCGGACACTGCCACTTCCAGCTGGCTGGTCTCCGTCCAGACGTTGTCTCGCACTCTGTAATAGATGACGGCATTAGAGAGAGTGTCCTGCAGAGTCTTCCCCCCCAGGGAGTAGATCGCATCCTTGCTGGGCACGGAGACGAGGGTGTGCTGGAGCCGGTCGCGGGGCAGAGGGGCGCACCACTCCCAGTCGATGGTCGCGTTGTTGCACTTCCACATGCGCCGCGGAATGGAGCCGCCCACGACGTACAGGTCGCTGCCGTGCTTGCAGGCGGCGGTGATCTGGTGGCACAGGCTGTTCTGGCCGCTCACGCTGATGGAGTCGTCGTCGGCACAGCGCAGGGAGACGGCGAGCGAATGCGTGCGGGACGACTCCTTCCCGATCAGGTAGATGTGAACGTTCTCTCCAACCACCTGGGAGAAAGGGCAAGTGTGTCAGCACAGCCCGACCTGTTTGCACAAACACCGGTGATGCCCACGACTGAGTATTTCAGCTTAGTGCTCACCTGTGGGCCTGAAGTGTGTGACCTGCTTCTCAAGTCCCCCCACCCTACAGCTTTCAGCATTCGGAGCTTCAAAGACTTTTCAAGATACCTGTCATATCTGACATAGGAAAACAGCAACAGGCTTCCCTGGCACCCAAGCACCTGTGGTTTAGTTAACGTCTGGTTACCGACAGAGTAGTCATTAGTAGGGGGATGCCAAACTCCAGTTTCTGAACGGTCTCTTGCTAACAGAACGTCTGGTGAAATAAGTTACTTGTGGCGCTGCTCCAATCACTGGTGAAAGCAGCAAAAAAAAGCTGCCGGTAGGGTTGCTGCTTATGACAACGAGAGTATTCCTCGTGCCAGCACTGGGAACTTGTGTGGCGCTTGCGTTCTGCGACTTCCCAGTCGCGCCAGCGAGCAGAACCCCCTTCCCTGGGAAGCACAAAAGCAGCAGGCACCACACCCACCCTGCAACAGAAGGTGTCTTTGTACCTTCAGACTGGACCGCAGCGTCTCCGAGAAGCCTGCCCGCTCCTCCTTGTTGAAGTTGATCCAGGTTTCTATGGCAGCCGCTGGATTCTGAGAACACGGAACCCCGTCTGCGGTTTGGGGACAGAAAGGCATTTATGATATCCAGACAAAGGTGTACTTGGGAACATCCTTTTCCTGTGACTCCCTCCCCCTGCTCCCACCACAAACCCTTCAGCCTAGAAGGAAAAAAAGATGGAGAGGTCTATAGGCTTTGGCAGGCAGGCTGGGCACTGCCAGCTGACATCCACAAAAAATTCCTTTGGATAAATATCAGAAGCCAGAGCTGCCAAGTCTTAAGCATTTTGGATGCGTTTCAACTACAGAACCTATGCCCAGGAGAAGGAGGGCAGCAAAGGGAACATACAGGCTTTGTGATGATGGAAAGTATCTTCTTATTTGAGCATTTAGGCAAAAAGTTTCTCTTTTGTTTGAGAATCTCCGCAGCTGCCTTTCTTTCCGGTCCTAGAAACCAGTCTAGCAAAAGTCACCTGCAGAAATCCTCCTTCTCTGAGCACTATCAGACAGGTGATCCTCAAGATGGAGCATCTGGTGCCGCTGCTCTCCTCCTAACACATGGAAATCCTAACACAGGCTAAAACCTGGACTTTGAAATGACTCCTAGAGTGCCACAGAAGGTAAGCTTAAGAAATTACTATTTCATTAAACTAATTTTAATCCATTCCACTAATTGTTTCCTCTATTTAATTCTCCACTAACTAAACAAGGATGCAGGAATTGCAACAGAGAAAGGACCTTCCCTACAGGCAGTAGGAGTGTATGTCAGATTTTAAACCATTTTATGAGCTCATTTTTGACATAAAAATTGAGTACTGTGATTCTACGTATGGAAATAGATGATGTATAGGAAAAACAGTTTTATTGGGCAATTAATTTAGGACCACAACCACTGAAAGCCATAGCAGGAAAACTATGGTTACTACATTGAATCCATAGAAAGTTAAGGGTCATTGACTTCAACAGCTTTGTTTCATGATTTTAGGAAAAGTTTTTTTAATTAACTCACAACTTAGTTTAAAACCTTTACCTAGAGTTATTGAAACAGCTCAAAAAAACTCTGAGAAAATGAGAGTCATCAGTACATGTCCTCCATAGATTGTTGGCTGTGAGCTCCTTTGGATGCACTACAGAAAATGCAGGATCTGTGGGGACTCTCCCATGGGTCGGGTCAACTTTAAAGGCTGTTGTAGGTCTCAGGGACAGATTTGCCAGAGCTCCACAGAAGCCGCTCACCGCAGGTTTATTGTTGTGACAGCATATAAAACACACCACACACAAAGTGTGGCTATTAACTCGTTTACAGAATTATTTAATAAAAACAAGAAAAGGGCAATCTGTCTGGTCCCACATCCGGCAGGCACACATGAACACGGGAGCTGCTTCTACATCCCTGCTTCTGCCAGCCCCGAGGTGGAAACACACAGAAAGGATTTCAAACTACAGCCAAAAAAAAAACCAAAAAAAAAAAAAAAAAAAGACTCCCCCCATAGATGTTAATTTCTGGTAAGGCTTCTTTGTTTTAATGGAAACAGAAATTAAACAAATGGTTGAAAGTGACCAAGTTACATTAAAAAAAACCTGTAATGCATCTGAGCTGTTGACTCAGGAGCTGCCAGGCATGACCAGCATCCTCCACATCCCTTCTCCACAGCCCAGATGCTTCACGTCCAGTAACGATCAACAGGGTTTTTTCCAATTACGTCATGCAGAACGTTTTGCTTTCTTTAGCTTAGCTAAGCCCCTGACCGGACAGTGATTAGGGAAGCTCTGATCCTTCCACCCTCTCCGCTTGGTCCTTGGCAGTCCCTCTCCCTCCGTCCCCACCGCCGCCAGCCCCAGGAGCGCCTCACCCGTCAGGATGTCCGTCAGCAGGCGCAGAGGCAGGTGCAGGAACTCCTCCGTGTCCTGCAGCTGAGACAAATGGGACTTGGCACAGTGCCTGGCAGCGGCGTAGAGCTCCGTGTCGCTGTGCTGGTCGGCCAGCCACATGACCTGCAGGCAGTTCCGCACCTGCACCGTCCGGGCCAGGAAACGGGAGCACTCTTCAAAGAGGGCGGTCAGCTGGTACATGTCTGCCACCTCGTAGGTTTCCTGCAACTCCTCTGCCCTCAGCTTCACTGTCCCGTGGTAAATGTAGTCCACGAGGAGCTGGAAGACGCTCTCGCTGACGTCCTGCAGCTCAATCACCCGGTTGTGGGCCTCCTTTAGGTTGGAGGTGAACATGGACCGGAAGAAGCAGCTCTGGGCCGAGAGGACCAGGCGGTGCAGCTGGAACTCTTTGCCTTCCACCGATATCGTCACGTCGGCAAAGAGCTCATCCTCCAGGCACAGCTTCATAATGCCCTGGGCCACGCGGCCCGAGTGGGAGCGGTCGGTGAAGGTGTAGTTCACAAAGTAGTTCTCTTCTGCAGAGGAACCGCCAGTCTCTTCCGACGAGTCCATGGTGCCGCACAGATCAGACCTCCAGCAATCTGTAAAAATCACGGTAATTACAGGAATTGCTCTCCCCACTAACGAGATTAAGCAGTATGCCAGGGTACAGGGACAAATCGAACGCGGGTCAGAGGCCAGCATACTTTAAACTGAATAGAAAGAGCGTGGCTGGGGAATTCTGCTTGAGCTTCAGAGTCACAACCAACCACAGAGAAGTTGGCATAATTAAAATCCTAACACAGACCAAAGTCCCAGGACACTGAGCACCACGTCCCAGCGGAGCTGGGAGCTGGGCACATCTCTCTCCCCAGCGCGGTGCCTAGCAGTGCCCCCCGGCCACACCTCACCCGCCAGCCACAGCCACCCACAGCACGGACCTCTCCAGGGAGCACCCAACGTGACTGCCAGTACACTTCCCACAGACGTGGTTTTTTCCTCCAGGAGGTTCAGTTACCCTTCCAGGCTTTATTTTGTCAAACGTCTGTTCTCTTACAAAAGCTCTGCTTGATACGGGAGGGCTCCCAAGTTCTCTGCTCAAGTTCTGTCCATGGGAAGTAGTGTCTACACCCCTGATAGAGATGGTGGGACAAGTCCATCCCATCGCTGATGACAACCTGTGTTAATTATACCCTTGCTGTGATTCTATGGTAGTTCTGCTCTGCCCGAGAAGTACCTACAGAATCACCTCCACATGAGTCCATAGGAGCTCAAGGCACCTCAGTCAGCACTGAACACGTTGGCACTGTTTTCCCAGCTTACCAAGTACAAGCCCACCCTGCAAACAGGCTCCCGCTTCACCGCAAGCCCTCGATCCTTACAGTCACGGGTCTCAGAAGCCAAGCTGGGAGCACCCAGGTGGCCACGCAGAGCAGCAGGAGGTGGGTGGGTGGGTGGACAGACGGCTGGATTACTCTGATGGCTGGCTGTGGATGGCTGGATTACTCTGAGAGCACTGCAGGCACATGCCCCCCTG